AATCTGGGGCTGGGAAGGTGGCTCAGTGGTAGAGCGCTTGCCTTGCATGCCTGAGGCCCTGGGTTCGATTCCTCAGCACCACATAAGCAAAAAGAAAAAACCGGAAGTGGTGCTGTGGCTCACGTGGTAGAGTGCTAGCCTTGAGCTGAAGAGCTGAGGGACAGTGCCCAGGCCCTGAGTTCAGGCCTCATGACCCCACCCAAAAAAAAAAAAGAAAAAATCTGTGCCAGAAGCCAAAGATCAGGATTGTAGCCCAGCATCAAATGCTAATTAGCTATCTAGCCTTAAGCAATCCCTTAGCTTTTCCATTTCAGTTTTCCATCTATAGATGAGAGATAATACATATCCATTCAGAAGGAGGAATTAGGAGAAGCTAGTGAAACCAAGTGACAGAAAGCGAAAGCACATTCAAAAGTAATAGTAGGTAATAGTGGGACTGAGAATGTAGCTTAGTGGAAGAGTGCTTACCTAGCATGTATGAAGCCCTGAGTTCGATTCCTCAGTACCACATACACAGAAAAAGCTGGAATTGGTGCTACAGCTCAAGTGGTACAGTGCTAGCCCTGAGTTCAAGCCCAGGACTGGCAAAAAAAAAAAAAAGTAATAATATAACATCCTTTGCAAGCCTACAATTCAGAGTGTGTATGTGTGTGTGTGTGTGTGTGTGTGTATGTATGTATATATGTATGTATAGTTATATATGTCCATGTATATGTGTGTGTGTATATACATATATATAAAACACAATATGTAGATAAAAGCAACTATAATGAGAATGGAAGTGTTTGAATATACTAAAATATATTAAAATCAGAAATTATTTTATACTCTTCTTACTAGATCTTCTAAATCTCTGTCATAAACAAGGATTATTCACATAATGGAAAAATGCAAGACTTTTTCTTTTTAAGTCACATCTTACCAAACTTTTCTTTAGTCGCCACATATCCCCTCGGCCAATATATTGATCCTTAAAAGTTAATTCCACTAGGTCAAGGGTCACATCCTAAAAGGGATAATCAAACATATTTTTCTTAATTAATTTCACATTTTTAAAAATAATTTTTTATTGAGATTAAGTGATTACATAAATTTTACAGTATTGTGGGATAGTGATATTTAAAGTCACAAACAATTTGTTTTGTTTTGTTTTGTCTGTTGTGGGGCCTGAACTCTGGGCCTGGGCACTGTCTCTCAGCTCTTCAGCTCAAGGCTAGCGTCCTACCACTGGAGCCACAGCGCCACTTCCAGCTTTTCCTGCTTATGTGGTGCTGAGGAATCAAACCCAGGGCCTCATGCATGCAAGGCAAGCACCTACCACTGAGCCACCTTCCCAGCCCCAACAAATTGGTTTTTTTGTCCATCTTGGAGCCTGAACTCTGGGTCTGGGCGCTGTCCCTCAGCTCTTCAGTTCAAGGATAGCATTCTACCACTTGAGCCACAGCACCACTTTGGTAGTTTATTGGAGATGAGAGTTTCAGACTTTCCTGCTCAGGCTGGCTTTGAACTGTGATCCTCAGATCTCAGCCTCCTGAGTAGCTAGGATCATAGGCATGAGCCACCAGCGCTCAGTTCACAAACACCTTCACAAGGCAAATTGCTATTATCATGGACTATAATGTTTGTGAATTGTAAGAGCTTTGACAATGCAACTATTTCTTCCACATCGGGTGATACATATATTTCTTTTCTTTTGCTTAATGTAAGCTATTCCCTCTTTCCCTCTCATTCCCTCCCAATTTGTCACGTTGTGTAGTAACTAGATAATGCCCACTCACCATGGGAAAAAGAAAAGAAAACAAAGTTTGGCAGGGGGAGTGGAAAGAAGGCACAACTAACTACTGAAAAATCATTCAACAGAAACCTGACCAACAAAATTTTATATATGAGAAACAGTTTCTGAATACAAAGCCCAAGTCCAGAAATTCTACAGCAGCCATCCTCATTTACTGCAATTAGTACCAGAGTACCAATTCTGTATATTAGTCTTTTTGTTATTGGTTATTTCTTTATTTTTCTGAAACAGTCTGTTCAAAGCTGGCCTTGAATTCTTGGGTTCAAACAAGCCCTCTGTCTCAGCCTTTCTGGTAGCTCGGACTACAGTACCGGTACATGCCACTACACCCTGTATTTTAGTCTTGAACTCTGACATACAAATCTAACGTTGAGCTATATATGCATCATTTCCCTATATAATGTCAATAGTATTTTCTCTACCAGGATTTTACCTATCTTTCACCTACTTTACCTACCTGCTATGATAGGTAAAATCACTTTACTTCATGAAGAAAAATGAAAAGGAAGACTTTTCAGTAAATTAATAGAACATTTAGTCATTTGACTCCTTATATAAACTCAAAAAAAGGAAATGGAACTAAGTGCAAACTATAGACCCCCTTCTAATCTGCATAAGTTTTTTATTGTTGTTTTTAGTCATGGGGCTTGAACTCAGGGCCTGAGTCCTGTTCCTGAGCTCTTTCACTGAAGGCTATTGCTCTACCACTTTGGGTCACAGTGCTGCCGGGTGCTGGTGGCTCACACCTGTGAACTGTGATCTGAGGATCACAGTTCAAAGCTAACCTGGGCAGGAAAGTCCGTGAGACTCTTATCTCCAACTAAGCACCAGAAAACCAGAAGTAGTGCTGTAGCTCAAGTGGTAGAGTGCTTGCCTTGAGCTGAAGAGCTAAGGGACAGTGCCCAGGCCCAGAATTCAAGTCCCACAACCAACAACAACAACAAAAAGACAGAGTCACAGTGCCACTTCTAGTTTTCTGGTGATTAATTGGAGGTAAGAGATTTTCAGACCTTCCTGCCATAGCTGGCTTCAAACTGCGATCCTTAGTTATCAACCTCCTGAATAGCTAGGATTACAAGCATGAGCCACCAGCACCTGACTCTAAATAACTTTTAGACAAGCACATAATTTTTTTCTTGTCCTGGGCGGCTTGAACTCTGGGCCTGGGCTCTGTCCCTGACCTTCTTTAGTTCAAGGCTAGCACTCTACCACTTGAGGCACAGCACTACTCCTAGCTTTTTCTGTGCAACTGGAAATAAGTCTTAGGGACCTTACTTCCCAGGCTGGCTTCAAATCGTGATTCTCAGATCTCAGCCTCTTGAGTAGCTGGGATTTCAGGCATAAGTCACCAGCACCTGGCTATAAGCACATAACATTAAATAATCTAATTCTACACATAAGTAACTCTTTATTTTCTTATTAACTTAACCTATGAGGAAGGGAGACAATCATTCCAAAAGACACATAAGTCCAGAACAAAGACATACCTTGGGGTCCACAATATTCACATAGACATCTTGATAAGGTCTAAGCCGAAATACTTGGGTCACAGTCTGGTCCACACTGATAGTTTCTAAAACATAAAAATCTGAATCAGATATAATTTTAAAGAAGCAGGTTAATATATTATTTTCTTTTTATGTCAGCTCTTGAGCTTGAACTCAAGGGTCTAGGTACTATTTCTGAACTTTTGTGCTCGAGGCTAGCACTCTACCACTTGAGCCATATATCCACTCAGGCTTTTTTGATTAAATATATTCTAATCTATAAATATGCAGATATTTAACAAGCAGCACCATTATTTGCTACAGCAATTTATGTTCCCTGGGAAGTAGAGCTGAGGCTCAAATAGTAGAGTACCAGCCTTGAATGAAAAAGCAAAGACAGAGCATGAGGTCCAGAGTGCAAGCCCCACTACTCACACAATAAATAAATAAATAATAAAGAGGATTCGCTGGGTACCAGTGGCTCACGCATGTAATCCTAGCTACTCAGGAGGCTGAGATCTGAGGATTATGGTTGGAAACCAGCCTGGGCAGGAGAAGTCTATGAGACTCTTATCTCAAATTGACCACCTGAAAACCAGAAGTGGTGCTATGGCTCAGGTGGTAGAGCACTCGCCTTGAGCTGAAGAGCTCAGGGACAGCACCCAGGCCTGGAGTTCAAGTCCCCCGACCAACAGAAAAAAAAAAAAAGGGGGGTTTCAGAGAAGAGACAGAGGTAAAGTGGTACCTTTCTGTAAATCTTCCTTAAGGGACTTGACTTGCAAAAGCAGAGGGCTGCAAAAGAAAGCAACAGATGTGGGAAGCTGTAAATAGCAGTTCCTCAGCTCCCTTCCACCCCCCTCCCAGGGCAAAGAGACCAGTAGGGACACATTGTAACTTGTAGCACTTCTAAGGAGAATACTTCCTTAGAAACAAAGAAACAGCACTTGCACTGAAAGGAAATGGAGAAAATGGATAATGTTAAAAACAGAAATAATAAACCACTTAAAAAAAAAACTGCATTGGTTTATCAAGTCCCAGGAGGCCTGAGAGTCATTAAAGCAAAAAGCTATCCTTGCCTTCCAGGCTTCTCACAAATAGCCCTTAGAAGCAGCAGACTGCCTTTTGACTAGTGAGATACTCACCTGTACTCATCATTGGGGTGAGCAATCTCCACAATGTCTCCAAGCTTGATGTGAGGAAATACTTTGGGATTCACAACTAGCTCATCATCTGAAAGACAATTTGGTGATCTCAGGAAGAAAACAGAGGCCTAAGGTACAGCATGTACTCAGTATGGATAAGGCACTGAGTTTAATCCCCAATACACACATATTCCAAAAAAGGAAAACTTATAAAGTGAAAAATATACTCATTTGAATGACAGGTACACACTCCTTATCCAATCAGGTTAGGATCACTTCTTTATCTCACAGATCAGGTCCCATTTTTCATTTATAATTAATCAATTTAAAAAATGTTCAGCATGGATGACAATATTGTCAGATACCTTGTACTCATATACTGTTTTGTAGAATGAGAACTTCTTTATATAACTACTTAAAGATATAATAATAAAAAATGTAAAAAAAAATGTTCAGCAGTACTGAGGTTTAAATTCAGTGTAGCACATCTGCTAAGCAGGCACACTATTACTTGAACCATGTTCCCAACATGTTTTTTTCCTTCTGCTTTATTTTTTCAGAGAGGTTCTTGTATTTACCCAAGCCTCAGACTCAGATCTTCCCACCTACAGTCTTCCATGTAGCAAGGGCCAGATTACCTCTGTGTGTGTGTGTGTGTGTGTGTGTGTGTGTGTGTGTGTGTTGATGTATTGGTGTGTGGGCCTGGGCATTGCCCCTAAGCTTTTATGCTCAAGGCACTCTATTACTTGAGCCATAGCTTTGCTGCTGACTTTTTTTAAAGGTTAATTGGAAATAAGTATCACACTAACTTTCCCTGCCAGGCTGGACTTGAACTGTGATCCTCATATCTCAGCCTCCTGAGTAGCTAAGATTTTTTTTTTTTGGTCTGTCGTGGGGCTTGAACTCTGGGCTTGGGCACTGTCCCTGTGCTCTTCAGCTCAAGGCAAGAACTCTACCACTTGAGCCACAGAGCCACTTCCCGTTTTCTAGTGGTTTATTGGAAATAAGAGTCTTGAGGATTTTCCTGCCTGGGCTGGCTTTAAACCATGATCCTCAGATCTCAGCCTCCTAAGTAGCTAGGATTTACAGGCGTGAGCCACCGGCACCCGGCTGTAGCTAGGATTTTATAGACATGAGCCACCAGTACGGGCATGACCCAATTTTTAAGTGGAATGAGGGTCTAACTTTTTGCCTTCCAATTTCCTCCTTTTTCATAGGTGATTTTATAGGTTTGAACCACAATCCCATGCTTAATTCATTTTTATTATTATTAGTGTAGTTTTGGTTTTTTGTTCCTGCTTTTCCTTTTTTTTTTCCCAATGCAAGATGGAACCCAGAGCCTTGTACATACATACACTGGCCTACACTCTCAGTCCAAGGCTCCATTTTGAATCTAGGATTTACATAGACATGGAGGAGGTGTAACTTCATGGCAGCACACTTAGCTAGCATGTGTGAGGCCCTGGGTTCAATGCCCAGCACTGGGGGTAAAAATAGTATATGCATAGGAATCTAGTGCTAAGCTAGGGAGTATATGAGTCACACAGAGTCCAGGGACCTCTGTTTCATAACATATGCCATTCTACTATCACACTGCTGCCAGGGAAAAAGTAGCCCATAATCCATGAGAATTATGTCTCTGGGACAGTCCTTTACTCTCTCAAATATCATCAATCTGGAACTAACCAGCACCAAACAGCCTGGGTCCCAAATATAGCACCATCTCCTACATTTATACAGTGTTGAAAGAGCTCCCCCAAATACTATCTTCCTGTGACCCTCACAATATGTTTAGACTAACAGGAGTGAAGAAATAACCTGGAATATAAACTGATTCACTTAAAGGTAGTGAGTTATTAGCAGTACAACCAAGACTAATTACTAGTTACCAGGTTCTACTTCTACCTAAAGCTCACCACCTCTCATATGCGATAAAAAAAAAAAACAACAAAGCCAGCCAGGAGCTGGTGGCTGACACCTGTAATCCTACCTACCTAAGAGGCAGAGATCTAAGGATTGCAGTTCAAAGCCAGCCCAGGATAGGAAAATTCTTTAGATTCTGGGTACTCAGGGACAGCACCCAGACCCTGAGTTCAAGCCCCACAACTGACCAAAAAGAAAACAAAATCAGTAAAGTTAAGGTTTGGGTTAATTCCAATTTTGATTTGGTACAGTATTTCCCTGACAGTTTTAGGCAAAAATCTCTGTGAAGTTCCCCACCCTTAACTTCTATCATCTAATATTTTTTGTTGTTTTGTTTTTCTTTTTTCTTTTGCCAGTCCTGGGGCTTGAACTCAGGGTCTGGGTGCTGTCCTTGGACTGTCCTTGAACTTATTTTGCTCAATGCTAGCACTCTATCACTTGAGCCTCAGCACCACTTCGGGCTTTTTCTGTTTATGTGCTACTGAGGAATTGAACCCAGGACTTCATGCATGCTAGGAAAATACTCTACCACTAAACCACATTCCCAATCCTCCAATAGATTTTCTCCAAGTACCTTTTTTTCTTAATTATTTTTTTCTTGCATGTTTGTCTTATTAAACTGAAAACTCCTTAGGGACAAAGGACCTTGCCATACTCATGATCTTTATGTTCAATATAAATTTAATAAATATTTACTGGTTGCACATTTTTATAATTTATAATGCTAGGCATATCACCTACCTACATCTGCCTTGTCTAAATGAAAGCCTGGGCTTCAATACATCATATACACATAAACAAAATGTATCCTTTGTCTGATTCCTTCTGCCCAGGTTATTTGTTTCTTTTATACTACTAAATGTTTAGTTAACACTAACAGCATACAGAATATACATCTTAGCAGAAATTATGTTTCCAATGTAGCACCTACCTGGTATATCTTTGTCTTGGTAATTATAATGGCTACATTTATTGAACAGGAACCTGTTACTTTGCTACATTCTATATACATATGATCTTACAACATCCTCTGGTACAGAAACTACCATTTTCTCTTTTTGCAAGTCCTTGCCCTCTAGAAGCTTATGCGTATATATAAAAGAGGAACAGGGGCTCGGAAGGTAGCTCAGTGGTAGAATGCTTGCCTTGCATGCATGAGGCCCTGGGTTCGATTCCTCAGCACCACATAAACAATAAAAGCCGGAAGTGGTACTTGGCTCAAGTGGTAGAGTGCTAGCCTTGAGCTGAAGAGATGAGGGATAACACCCAGGCCCAGAGTTCAGGCCCCACAACTGATAAAAATTAAAAAAAAAAAAAAAGGAACAAATGCATACTAGGCTATAAATCAAGAGTCCAGGGTATAGAACTCCTTGGAATGCTTGCCTTGCATGCAGATGGCCCTAGATTTGATCCCCAGAACTGAGAAAAAACAATAAAATTAAATGCAAAAATACTGTGTTCTTAATTCCAATTGCTGAAGTAAATTTTGTTGTTGTTGTTGTTGTTTTTAGGGGGCTTTGTGTGTTTATGTGTGTGCCTGTTCTGGGGCTTCAACTCCTGCCTGGGTGCTGTCCCTGAGCTTTTTTGCTTAAGGCTAGTGCTCTACCACTTGAGCAACACCTCTATTTCTGGCTTTCTGGTGGTTAATTGGAGGTAACAGTCTCACAGAATTTCCTAACCAGGCTGGCATCAAACCATGATTCTCAGATTCCCAGCCTCCTGCATACCTAGGCCTAGTAAATAAGGCTTATAAGATAGAAGAGAGAATGAGAGACAGTAATGGTAGAACATTTGCCTATCATTAATGAAGCCCTGGAGTTAGACTGCCTTCACTATTAATATATATATGACATATACATATGTATACACACACACATACACAAGCCAGGAACTAGTGGCTGATACCTATCATCGTAGCTACTCAGGAGGCTGAGATCTGAGAGTCAAAGCCAAAAAATCTCGGAGAATCTTAGCTCCAATTGACCAGAAAAAATAAAAATAAGTGGAGGTGTGGCCCAAGTGGTAGACCACCAGCCATGAGCAGAAAAATCCAAGTGAGAACACAAGGCCCAGAGTTCAAGCCCAGTATCGTGTGCATGGGTATATACACCCACACATACACACACACACACACACGCACACACGCACACACACACACAAAGACAAAGAGAAACTATTGGGAGGCAAAGATCAAAGGAATTGTTTGAGGCCAACAGAGGCAACAAGAAGTTGAGACTCCGTTTCAAAAAATAGCTGACTGAGGGGCTGGGAAGTTGGCTCAGTGGTAGAGTGTTTGCCTTGCATGCATGAGGCCCTGGGTTCAATTCCTCAGCACCACATAAGCAGAAAAAAGCTGGAAGTGGCACTGTGGCTCAAGTGGTAGAGCGCTAGCCTTGAGCTGAAGAGCTGAGGGACAGTGCCCAGGCCCAGAGTTCAGCCCCAAAACCGACAAAAAAAAAAAAAAAATAGCTTACTGGATTGTTGCATGACTATTATCCCAGCAATGGGGGAAGCACAATGGCTGGCTGGGATGTGGTACTGTGGTTCAAATGGTAGAGTGCTAACCTTGAACTGAAATGCTGAGGGACAGCACCCAGGCCCAGAGTTCAAGCCCTACAACCCACAAAAAACAAAACAAACAAACAAAAAAAAACAGAAGTATCATTTTAGTTTCTTTTATCCAACTACTGCAAGCTAGAATTTTACATACATAATACAAACACAAATAAATGAAAGGTAGTAACCTGAAAAGATTCACAGTATTCTTTTTTTTTTTTTTTTGGTCAGTCATCGGACTTGAACTGAGCCTAGACGCTCTTCAGCTCAAGATGAGTGCTCTACCACTTAAGCCACAGTGCCACTTTCAATTTTCTGGTAGTAAATTGGAGATAAGAGTCTGGGGAGGAGGAGGGAGCTGGGAAGGTGGCTCAGTGGTAGAGTGTTTGCCTTGTATCCATGAGGCCCTGGGTTCAATTACTCAGCACTACATAAGCAGAAAAGAAAAGCTGGAAGTGGTGCTGTGGCTCAAGTGGTAGACCACTAGCCATTGAGCTGAAGAGCTGAGGGACAGCACCCAGGCCCAGAGTTCAGGCCCCACGACCGGCATTAAAAATAAAAAAAAAAGAGTCTTATGGACTATCCTTGCCCGGACTGGCTTTGAACCATTATCCACAGATCTCAACCTCCTGAGTAGCTAGGATTATAGGCATGAGTCACTGGCACCCAGCTTCACAGTATTCTTTAGAAGTTAGAACACAGGGGCTGGGAAGGCAGCTCAGTGGTAGAGTGCTTGCCTTGTATACATGAGGCCCTGGGTTCAATTCCTCAACACATAAGCAGAAAAAGCTAGAAGTGGGGCTAAGTGGTAGAGTGTTAGCCTTCAGCTGAAGAGCTGAGGGACAGCACCCACGCCTAGAGTTCAGGGCCCACAACTGAAGGAAAAAAAAATAGAAGTTAGAACACAAAGCCAGGGGTGGTACAAGACAGATGAAGATAAGACAGAAGGCTTGTTTGAAGACAGCCTGGGCTACACAGTGAGTTCCAGATCAGTCAGACTAGGTTCAAAAAACAAAAAAACTAGAAGAAAGGAGGAAGGATTCTAAATGCAAATCCCTCACCCTATTGGAAATTAAATCGAGTGTGCCCCCCCCGTGTGTGTGTGTGTGTGTGTGTCATGTGTGTACACGTCTGCACCAGTACTGGCACTTGAACACAGGACCTAGTCATTGTCCCTTAGCTTTTCTGGTCAAGGATGATTGTCTACCACTTAAGCTACAGCTCCACTCCCAGCTTTCTGGTAGTTAACTGGAAATAAAACGCTCACATACTTTCCTGCCCAGGCTGGCTTCAAACCAAAATCCTCAAATCCCAACCTCCTGAGCAGCTAGGGGTACAGTTGTGAGTCACCAGCACCCAGCTTTGAACCCACGATCTTGTGCATGTGAGTCAAGCCCTTTACCAGTTGTGTTCCACCTGAATACAAATGCTTACAGAATGGCACTGCGCTCTCAGATTCTTAACATTCCTGTTGTACCATAGTGACTGCTTCACTTAGTTAAACTACCTGTCTAGCTTCTGTTATCACAAGTTGGTGTGGCATTTTCAAAGTACTGGGCACATCAGAATTTCAATCAACCTGCATAACCCACAAAGACCAGTCTATACTGACCACTTCCTCCGAAGCCCTTCTTGTGGATGACGAGTTTGTAAACCTTTGTGGTTCTCATCTTGTCCTATGGTTCCAGCCTTCAGCTGTTCCAATCTCGGAGCAAAGAAGTCATCTTGCCGCCCTGCCATTGAAACATAAACAAAAAAAGGCCGGGAATGTCACAATGTATTGCAATTGCTCTTGGATTTTAGGCCACTGAATATACTGATGTCACTCAGCTGACAGGTGGCGTCAACCCTAGGATGAAATCAGGCCTCAAATGCCAAGTCAAGAGAAAGAACACATAGAATCTAGGAACTAGGGCAGATTTGGGCCAGAGTCTGGTCAAACATAAGAAAGTATAGTCTTTCTTGCACCATCGCTAAAACTAAGACTTGCAGTAAATGAGGCGCTCATTACCTTGTTCCCGCCTACATCAATAATACCCAAACGAGATCTTAGAAGAGGTTAGTCCACTCCATCTGTTGGATGAGGAAAATGAAAACCACTACCAGGGACTTACCCAAGGTCACTCAGAAAAATGAGAAACACTTCCACAATTCACGTTTCACTCACAATATTCTGGACCAGGCCAATACAAATAGGAAGAAGGGATGGGGCACCTTTGTGGAACCTCCCATCTGTACCAACCATCAAAGGACCCTCTGGCCTCTACTTCGCCGCTTGAGGCACAGAGAGGGAGAGAGACTTGTCCAAGGTCACACAGTGGATTAGGAACAGTCAGGACTCGAACTTGAACCCACGACCCCTTTTCCTCAAACAACATCTCCCTCCCCCCCAACCCCCACCCCATACACACACACATACACACTCAACCTCAATCCCGGGCAGGCAGCTCCACTCACCCGCAGCTCTAGAGCCTCTTCGCGTCTCAGGCCGGGCCCCGAGGGCCGGACCCTCGCCAGGGACCGAGCTCCTCCTCTGGACACCCCAGCTAAGACTCCACGGCCCGCGCAGCTTCCGCCCCCGAGCTCGAGGCGCCGGCAGGCCAGCCCCGGACACAGAGCGTTCACCTGAGAGCCCGCGCCGCTCCCGTGGCTCCACCCCCTGACACGCCCCCTCCCCGCCCCCACGACATTCCGCCCCCCCCACCTCCCCCGCCGCTCTAGCCGAACCTCCGCTTCGTCTCAGTGGCCGCGCTACTTCCTCATCCGGGACTCGCGTCAGGGGCGGGGAGTCAAGCCGGGTCTCTGGATCTGGCCTTCTCTTGGCATTTCCCGCCTCCCCGAAGAGGAAATCCGGACATGTATTCCAGATCCATAACCTAGTATCTTGTATCCTAAAAATCTGGGACGATCTTAAAGAGCTCTCTTTCAGTTTAATCGAGCTTAGTGACTTCAGACTGGCCCCGAGTGACTACTGGTCAATGCAAAAAGAAAGTTTCTGGGAGAACTTTTGCAATGTGCAAAGATCTGAGGACCTGAAACTTGCGGTGTTGGTTCCTGCCAGGAAGGATCATCAGTCCACCTGGCGGGTCTTTGCAAACCCCGACCCTCCCCGCCCCACCCCCCAAAAAAGACGTTATGCTCCTCTACTTATGCACAAGAGCTACCAGGATTTCAGACAACTGTAGGGTAACCCTACTATATGGTAGGTACCTGGCTATTTCACTGCTGAGAAACCCAAGCCTGAGGAATTACAAGTAGGAGGTAGTACAGACAGATCAAGACCTTATCTCATCCAGTTTAACGTGCAATAAATATTCAGGGTTGGCTGGGCCAAGCTCCCATTTGTTGGGACATCTTTTTAGAAGAAGAAAGCCAGAGGGGCTGAGAAGGTGGCTCGGTGGTAGAGCGCTTGCCTTGCATCCATGAGGCCCTGGGTTGGATTCCTCAGCACCACATAAGCAATAAAAGCTGGAAGTGGTGTTGTGGCTCAAGTGGTAGAGTGCTAGCCTTGAGCTGAAGAGCTGAGGGACAGCGCCCAGGCCCAGAGTTCAGGCACCATGACTGGCAAAAAAAAAAAAAAACCCTTGGTTTTGAGTTCTCAGCCTTCTGAGTAGCTAGGGTTAAAGGTATCACCTATACCAGATGACAATTGTCATTAAAAAAAACTAATACTACTAATTTTGGGCAATAGGGGTATAGTTCAGTAGTAGAGTGTTTTAAAAGCACACAAGAGGTCTACAGGCCTAGCAGAATAAAATGCCTAGCAGAATAAAAAGCAAAGTGTAATATAAATGGAGAAAATCACGAATATTATTAGCTGACTCAAAAAAAAAAACATTATATTCATTAGGAAATTGGTTCCCTTCTTACCTCTAAGGGATCAAATGACATGTAGAATGCTTCTTTTGGACCCTGTCGTGCGAAGTGCATATTTAAAGGCAGGCCTAGAAGAAGGATGAGGCAGGTCACAGCACTTTTTGTTTCTTCAACCTTTTATCAACGTCTGTTCATTATATATAGTCACAGTACCCAACATTAGAAGGAAATAAATGTTAAACCTGGGGACTTAGAATGTGGATTAGTGTGCATGAAGCCCTGGGTTCGATTCCTGAGTACCACATAAATAGAAAAAGCCAGAAGTAGTACAGTGGCTCAAATAGTAGAGTGCTAGCCTTGAGCAAAAGAAGCTCAGGGACAGTGCCCAGGCCCTGAGTGCAACCCCACACTGGCAAAAAAAAAAAAAAAGGTTAACCCCTTAGGGAAATAAGGATGTCTAGAGAACGTGATCCACTGGTCGAACATGATACAGAAAAGTGTAAACAATAGAAATCTGTTGCTTTGTGGAACTGTGGAAATCTCAGCTGAGGCCAAAAAGCTTAATAGCCCAGTCAAAAGATGTGTTTCCCTTTAAGAGGCTGAACTGCAAAAGGGAGTGTGTGTGTGTGTGTGTGTGTGTGTGTGTGTACATGGGCCTGTGTGTGTGTGTGTGTGTGTGTGTGTGTGTACATGGGCCTGTGTGTGTGTGTGTGTGTGTACATGGGCCTAAGGCTCTGAATTCAAACCTCCGTTATTCCCCCCCGAAAAAGTTAAACAGATAAAACAAATTCTGAGCTGCAGGGGCGGGGCTAAGAGAGCCGCAACTAACAAGGGGCGGAGGAGGGCGGGGGGAGTCGAAGGCGGGAAAGGGCCGCCCTTTTTTGGAGTGCGCACGCGCACTGCGGGGGCGGGATTTGGGCAAGTCCGCATGGCTGGCTGAGGTCCCGGATGAGGAAGTGTGGGCGGACCATAGAGACGGTGAAGTGTCTGCGGCCCGGAGCGCCCCTAAACCTGGGGCGCTGCAGGTTCAGGTTAGTCTTGGCCACGGCGGGGCTGCGTTTGCCGAGGCCAAGCTGGAGGGACAGGCCCGGGCTACGGAGCAGGCCTCAGGGTAAGACGCTGGGGGCCGGGAGGCTTCACGAGGAGCCGTCCTTCCCTAGAAGGGCCTGAGGGGACCCTCCGCCGGGCGGTTCGGGCTAAAGAAGGATCCCGAGACACCCCCTCCCCCTTCCCCCGCCGTCGGGATGCAGAAGGGGACGGAGGCTGCGCTGCGGGCGACAGATGAGCCGGAGAGAGAGAGGAGAGGCTCCCCACTTCCCTGGGAGAAAACAGCTTCTCCGAGTCATGCCTCCGACGGGGGAGGGGAGGACCCCCAACTTCATTGCTCAGGGAGGACGATGCTTCTAAATCGTCGGCGTACTTCTCTCCAGGTCTCCTTTCTGTGTGTCAACGGAGGGAGACCTACTCGGTGCCAAAAGCGGGACTGTGACCCTAATCTAAGGAGGGGTAACTCCGAAATGAGACTATCCTTCCCCCCCCCCTCCCGGCTAACGCCATCCAGGTGGAGGGGGGCCACTCGCTACTGATCCTAACTAAAAGTGACGGTGGTGAATCTTCCTTTCTCGTAAGAAACTTTACCCACTTTTCAACCCCAGGATATAAAGATCTTGTCAATGCAGTTCGAAATCAAGTCGTTTGCTCCTTTCCCCAATCATCTCTATAGAGGGAGCCTTGCTTGTCCGCTTCCCGGTGTGTAACGAGTTCCCCTCTCACTATTTACGAGAGGATGGCTTTTGGAGTGTGAGATCGACGACCCTGTGTCTCCTACTTCAAATCTTTGTGACCTTGACTTATTGCCTAGCTTCTGTCAGTCTCTAATTTGAACAGTGCCCCCACCCCCCGATTGTCAGGAGGGCTAAGGGAGATTCTGTGCAAATGCTTAATACATAGAATACAATTGACACATATATTAAGAAAACTAGTATCTTGCACCGAGAAGCAGAGGTTTGCATGCATGGCCTCCCCTTCTCTCTCCATGAGTTTTCAACCCTTTACACCGATAAAAAAAAGACTTCCTCCACCCCAGGGTGGAGAAAAAGATACTTAAAAAAAAAAAAAAAGACTCTCCTTTGGTCCTTCATACTCCCCACATTAACAAAGAAGGCCTCACTGAGGAGATTCAGGAAAAAAAAAAGACAGCTTTCAGAAACAGGTCAATACTCTTAGAAGGGAGAGATGTGTTGACAGAATCTAGTTTTTTCTTTGTCCATGAAATCTATTACTTCTTCATGGCTGGTTAGAGCTGTCTTCCCCCACTCCTGCTTGTTCTAGTGGTTAAACAAAAAGCTGGGCTCCATTTGTTTATGCCATTAATCCTAGCTACTTAGGGGTCTGAGATCTGAAGATTGTGGTTCAAAGCCAGCCCCAGCAGGAAAGTCTATTATACTCATCTCCAATAAACTATCAAAAAGCAGAAGTGGAGCTGGGCTCAACTGGTAGAGCTTAAGCACAAAAGCCCAGGAACAGTGCCCAGGCCCTGAGTTTATAGCCCCAGGACCCCCCCCCTCCATGCACCCACTGCAAGAGAATGAGTCCAACTTCTCCATATCTCTGACTCTCCAAGGAAAATAAGGGTACCATTGAGGAGAGGACTTTTTCCTGCTATCTATCTAAAATAGTGCATATGGTTTCCTCTCTCTTTTTGAAAAAGAGATGGAAATTTTCATATGGGGAGTCTTTGTCAGTAGAAATCAGGGACAGATTTTACTATTTCCCTCTTCTTGTGGAAACAGTTTTTGTTTTGTTTTTGTTTTGGTTGCTGCTACTAAAGAGAGGAAAAGGAAAACCATACTTGATGTTTTTGAGATTTCTTGCATACACATGTTGAAGAGCTGGGTCCTGTTTAGTTTATGTGCTTCCTTTCTTTGCTCTCTATTTGTCTGGAGATCTTGTTAATAAGATTCTTCTTTTTCTATACCTCAAGTAGAGGCCCTTTTCTGAATTTCCTCATGAAAGGATTGGCTAAAGCCTCTGAATCTTTGAAAAAGACAAAGTCCCTTTTCTCAAGGTGAAAGGAGCATTGTGACTGTCTCAGGGTCTGGTCATTATTGTGAATATTGTTACATGACACAGGCATGGCTGCTCTATGTTATTAACAGCTCCTTTGCATTGAAATTGAAGGCGAGACCTGCAGTCTGGGGATTATTGGGGTACATGGTTTTCTGTTACGCTGTTTTCTTTGTTTAATTCCTTACCCCCAATTTTTTATTTCTTACTGTGTTTACATCCAGAAGTTTTGTTTGGGGGAGTACTGAGTGACTCAAGTAAAAGTTGCTGCTTTGTCAGGGTTTGGTAGTATAAAATACTCAGAATAAAATTGAGAGCTGCATTGTTGCTCCTTCAGTAGTAGGTTTCTGATTTTATTTTCCATGTGTTTGGTTTTGGGGAGGATCTAAATGAACACTGCCAAATTACCTGAAAAGAAAAACTCCCATTTTTTTTTTAAATGAGCAAAGTGTTCTTAAATTACCCCAAATGCCCTTGTACTTACTGAGAAGATTAGTGTGAGCGAGAGGCCTAGGGTTTAATGGGTGGTGAGACCCTTTGTCTAGTTTACAAGGGAAAATCAAGCCTGGGAAAGTTCATTTAGCTTTCACTTAACACTTTGTAGGCTAGAGGACTAGTGAGTGGAGTAAGAAGAGTCAGAATAAAGACTGGCTGGGTGCTAGTGGCTCATGCCTGTAATCCTAGCTACTCAGGAGGCTGACATTTGAGGACATTGGTTCAAAGCCAGCCTGGGCAGGAAAGTTCCTTTAGACTCTTAT